GCTAAAGGGCATCCTGTGCTTTGATATGGGGATGAGAGAGGCTCTGAACGCTCTGCTGGCACCCAGAGCGGAGCCTCGCGTCTCGGGATACCGCGTCTCCTCCGGAGCACCGGGCACCGGCAACGTTGTTCGCCTGAACTTAGGCCTCTTGTGGCTCCAGAAAGCAGGGAAAGGCTTTTCCCTGGTCTTGGCTGCGGCTGTTTGTGTGGGCATGCCATTAAAAAGGTGCCCTGCCTACGAGCCAATATTTAAAGGTTAGGGTCACAGTCATTTCCAAAACTGCGATTAGCTCATGTGCTTGGTGAGCTCTGTTTTTATAGCAACTTTCCAGTCATATAAATACAAAATCATCTTTTTCATCCAATATGCTTTTCAAAAAATAATTATTAAAGCTGCCAAATTTGCTTTATGTGATTTTGAAAGAGAAGGCTGCCTCTGGCTAAGACCACACATGCCAAACTGCAAATTTGTGTAGGCTGCTTAAATGTTTGTGCAGCATTTACAGTGCCCCAGATGAAAGGCACTACAGAGTGCAAAGTATCATTATTTTTATTATTGCTCCTTTTGTCTACCTGTGAAAATGGGATTAGGGCTGGGCTGACACCTTCAACCCAATGATGGCACCACACAGCATGGGACCACGGTGTGTGGGCTGGAAGCAGAGGCTGGACGCAGCGTCCCGAGAGTCAGCAAAACACAAGAGAGGTTTTAAATCTGTTCACGGTGGTTTTGGGAATGGCATTCGCCTTCCAAAATCCCGCACACGGAATGGCCAGGGAGGTTGTTAGCCAGAAGGAGTCTACACAGGCCCTGCCGCCCAAGGGGCTGGCGCGGGACGGGCGGCGAGGCCTGCGGGACACGTCCCGCTGCTCTGCACGGAGCCGGGAGCACCTTCTGTCCCGCTCCGCGTCCCAGCGGACCCTGTGGAGAGCAGAACCGGCGCTTCCGCCCCAGCCGTTCCGATGTAGGACACCAGAGGGCTGTGCTGGGCTCTCCTGGCCCCGCGGCAGGCCCCCGGAGCGCTCGGAGCGGTGCCTGTGCTCTGCTCTTCCCCGCTCGCTCACGGCTGTGCTCTGGGGAGCAGCTCTGCGGGCGCTGGCAAGGAGCAGCTGCCCCGTCTCACACGAAGGGCAGGTTCCTCTCCTGCCTGTGCTGCAGCGAATGCAAAGGCATCTGCTGTGGGTCCAACCCACCTGTGCCCTGTGCCAGCAGTTACTGGAGCGCCGTGAGCCTGTGGTGCGACCGGAGGGGCTGTCACCTCTCAAAGCCTGTCCGAGGGACCGATTCCTTGGGCACAGGGCGGTTAAGCACCGACCAGGTCTCTGCCGGCACTGCAAGGGACAGGCCAGCCTCCCCCTCTGTCACCTCCGGTGGCACCTGAGCTCTGCCCCTCGCCACGTGGGCCGACACGTGGAGCAGCAGCCGGCGCCGGACGATGCTGGGCGCCGTGTGCGGGCGCTGAGCAGCTTCCTTGTGTTTCTGCACAGCAGGTTCAAGATCCAGAAGAGACCGGGCAGCGGCGCTTCCCAGCCCTGCGAGAACATCGTGGTCGCCTACTACTTCTGCGGAGAGCCCATCCCCTACCGCACGCTCGTCAAGGGGCGCGTGGTGACGCTGGGACAGTTCAAGGAGCTGCTGACCAAGAAAGGGAACTACAGGTAAAGGCGGCTCCTCACACAGTGCGGGGCCAGCGGGGCCATGGGGGAACTGCAGCGGGTACCGAGCGCGAACGAGGCACCGCGTGGGTACGGGGGCTTCCTGCGCTTGAGAAAGATAAGTCCAGAAGTGTGCGGGGATCTCATTTAAAATAAGGCTAGGAGCCTTAATTGCAACAGGAATCCTGCCCATGTCATGTTTGATTTTGAATTTTGAATACTAAGGCTTGGTCTTTGAAGGGGCTGGGTACAGGATCATGGGTGATTTTGTGCCAGAAATGTTCTCCATCAAAGTCTGGGCCTTAAATAGAAGGTGCTGAGTTTCTCTGCAGCTCCCAGTGGGTCCTGGGCTGGGGATGAGCAGTGTCTGTCTGTGCTCGGGGATGTTGGGGTTGCCCAAAGAGGACTTAGCAGGGGAGCCCTCTCAGCTTCCAGAGCCATTCCAGCTCCTCCCAAACCTTCCTCCTGTGAGGACAGGGAGCAGCCTGAGTCCCAGAGCAGTTACCTTCTACGTAGCAGCCGAGCACAACACGCATCTCTCCAAGTAAGCGTTTTCAAGCTGGAGATGCTGCGGGAAGTTCTGCCTCCAAACACGCTAGGGTTTCAGCAGTGTGGTCATCTCCACCCACTGCTTTAGAGAGCTGTGAACGCTCTTGCATTTAGGGCTTGTGCTGCTGAATGTGTCCAACCTTAATCATCCCCACCACTGTCTCTGGTTTTACAGGTATTACTTCAAGAAAGTGAGCGACGAGTTCGACTGCGGCGTGGTCTTCGAGGAGGTGCGGGAGGATGACACCATTCTGCCCATCTTCGAGGAGAAGATCATCGGGAAGGTGGAAAAGATTGATTAGGCCCCGAGGCTGCGAAGCCGTAAGGAAAGGACTGTGAAAGACTCTGGGAGCGGAGGCGCGGGGCTGGGGCGAGCGCTGGCGGTGCCACCTCGGGGCAGCCCTGCTCTTTGGAGGACCTGGGCGAGCTCTGTGTTGCCAGTGGAAGTCGTTTCACCCCACGAACCTGCCAGTGGGAGCCCTGGCCCGGGCTCCCTCTCCATACCGAATATAAGTGTAATGTAGCATTGTACAGTGCATTAGAAAGTGTAATATGACCTTGTTTACTAAAGCTGCATATTTTTGATATATTGTAATAAAAGGAAAATATTTCCAATGTCACAGTGCTCTTATGTAAATGTAAAACATACAGGTACTGCAGAACTCGCCCAAAGCGTGCAGCCATCGTCAGCCTCGGTGTGCCCCCGCCTGCACGTCCCCTTCCCCGTGCCCCCGCGCAGAGGGCTCCTCGCGGCGCAGCGCGCCCGGCCCCTGCGCTCACGGGCAAGTCACCGCTCTGCTCGCGGCGCTGCCTTTCCACCTTGCCTGGAAAGGTTATGGAGCTGTTCCAAGCAGTCGGGCTCACCCGTCGCTGGCAGGCTGGGCTCCTGGACCTGGTAGGATGTTTTTTTCTCCTGAGGTTTCTTGCAGCTGAGTAGGCGCAGGAGGGAAGGCCCCTCTCTGCCAGCCCCCCGTGCCCGGGGCTTCCCACTCTCCCTCCTGGCTCAGGGGGCTGACTCGGCTCAGCGCTGACAGGGAGGGCACGTGGGGCTCCCCTGCCCTGGGCACTGCCCTTGCAATGGTGGCACCAGCACCTTGGCTCCCAGCAGGGCCCTGCTGCCAGTGTCAGCCCCACAGTGCCAAGATCAGGCTTTGAGCCGGGGGGTCTTTCCAGGAGAAACGTCATGGGGAAGGGAGCTGATGAGACAGTGTCAGTCTGAGGATAGGAACTCTCTTCTTGTCTGTGCTGTGGAGCTTCCCTGCCTTGGAGAGGTGGCATGAGGGCCCTGCAGCCCCCTCCTGTGCCCATGGCAAAGGGAGCTGTTGATGCCACTGTGGGGGCTCTTGCAGTCACCCAAATGGGCAGTGGTGCAGGTGGCACCTGGGACACCCCCTGTGCACCCTGTCCACCCTTCCCCACCAGCCCAGGGGCTGCCCTGTGCCCACAGGTCACCACCCGCTCCTGCACCCACCCACGGAAACCACAAAGGCCCCCTGGTCTCTGCATTTTGGGGGGTTCTGTGCTGGTGTCCACCATGACACCTCCACGAGGGCCAAGCGGGGCTCGGCTCAGCCTGTTGGACACGTCACCCAGTGCCTTGGAACTGCAGTTCTGTGACTCGCCTTTCACTGCGCGAAGTCCAGCAAAACCCGCAGTCGTTTTCAACCAGGGAACAGCACTAGGAACGTTGTTCTCTCTCTCTCTGTTTTTTCTTTCTTTTTTTTTAAGTTCTGATCATATGGGGTCTGGTGAGGTGTTAACACAGCTTGGAGGGGTCCCCTGTAAATACGCACATTTGCAAAGCGCAGCAGCCTCCCGCCGCCCCGGTTGCGTCTCCTGCGCACCCTCCTGTGCTGACCTGTACAATGATCTTTCCAAAGGTGCTCGGATAAAATGAAATAAACCCCCGCACCCCAGCGCCTGCTGGCTCCTTCCTTCCCTGCAGGGATGTCCTGGCCGTCGGTAGCTGGGTGGGTGCTCAGGGGTGGGCAGGTCAAGCCTGGCTTTGGCTGGGCACATGTCCAGGCTCGGGAAGCTGTGGGCTCCCTCGAGGGGTGACGTGGGGTGGACGGGCTGCTCTCAGCCCAGCAGGGCCTGGGAGGTGGTTGAGCTGCTCCAGCGTCACAGTGTCTGGGGACAGCAGGCCGGGGGAGAGGGGCTGGGTGCTGACCAGGCCCGGGAGCAGCATCAGGAGCCCCGTGATGCTCTCGTTCCCCTTCCTTGCCTCTGCCTACAGCCCTGGGGCTGCCGTGTGGCCCCTGGGGGCTGTGGGGGAGAAAACCCCAGCCTGTTCCCTGCAGCAGCCCCGTCACCTGCACCGTGACAGCCCTGGTGACAGCATGAGGCACCTGCCACGCGAGGGCCCAAGACCAAGCGAC